TTTAATTCCGTTCCTTTACCAGATTAAATTTTGTAAGTTACCAGCATGCTGATGTTCAACCTTCTTAATGGAAGGAGGTGGCGTAATGACAAGTAGCCCAGCATCTCACACGCATGGTCCGGTATCAAATCCTAAATCGATACCTGCCCGGGCCAGCTAAGCATTCCATCCTTACCAATAGGATTCAATTGATTGGTACTAGACACGTTAGGAAGAGAGAAGCACTGATTTGTGCATCGGCTCGTCATCCTCAGTCATTGTATAGGTCACACATTCAACACGACACTGTGACTCTGAATGGAAATCGAATGCGGGGCGTATCCCCCAACGCCTAAGTTGACCTTTAGTTCACTCGATTGAATAAAAGCTAGCTTTTGCATTGTTTTCAGTTGGAAAAGCGGTCGTCAGTGCATGGAACCATGTGCGAACTGTTGTGAATCAGTATCAGACAAAGCAAGTTATATTAGTTCAGAACTTGACAGTACAGTAAACCCGATGGAGGAACGGTAAGTACAACTGGTTTTGTACACGTAATGTAAATTTTGAAGATATCACCTTGACTGGTTCAATTCCAGGCAAAAAGCATCATGGCTAGGTCCGTTTCCCGAGTATCCATCGGCATACGCTTCACCGAACCCACCTGCTGATGCTTTAGAAGAATACCTAGACGCTAGTGATAGTTACCCACCAAAATACGAGGACACATTCGGTTTGTTGTTAAGTCAGAATATTTTAGCTTCTCAATTTCTATTTATAAATTTATTCAGATGTAATTTATATTTATCCAAATTATAAATTTTTATCTAATAAACAGTCATTTCGAAAGAGGTCATTAGGTTTGACAAACTTCATAAACGAATTCCCACGGTCGCTAGCACGCGTCGATCCGTGGTTTCGCGGTATCCCTTAACCATCCACTGGTAACTCAAGGGTCACCCTTATACTGCGCACGGCGCGCAGCGGTTACGACCCCGTTTGGGTACGAGTTACCTGACCCGGCCATTCCAACATTAAGTCTTACCGTCAACTTAGCTACAGATATGAAACGCCCACTCTGAAGAAGTATTTGTGTTACCTTTTGTAGAGTTATGAATAATTCATAATTGTTTTCAGATACAAGTTACTCTTCACCCAATCTTCCCCGCAAGGACACTTCCCGCAGTCCATTGGAAAGAAGTCGTAAAGGCTCTCGGTAAGGAGTGTCTTAAGAAAACGACCTGGTTACGTTTGCCTTAGTTTCCTACAATTTCAGTCTATCTGGAATTCCCGAAGAAGATAGCGGTCTGGGGTCCGACAATGGAGATCCATCAATGGGCAGAAGTCGATTGAAAATGCCAGCAACACCTCCTCACACTTCTGCAAGTCAAGAGGCAGATCCTTGGGATCTGGCGCCTCCACGGACTAGGACCCCATCCAGAGCTGAAAAACGAGCTGGTTCTGGTACTCCGTTACTTCAGGTAAGAGGTTATTCAAGCCGGTTCGACTAGATTTCCTATCTCAAAAACAAAAACTCCTCCTGTGGGGCAGCTTCACCCTCAACTTGGGGAACTGGAGTGGCCGTACTCCTCACTAAGCTTGCGGGTAGTGATAGGATGACGTTGCGTAATCGGCTGAGAGGGCGTGGGTGGCGTAAGTACTGTAGTTCGCACACGCACGCGCGCGGCAGTAGTCTAGCGACAAATACCGTAATCGTTCACTGAGAAGATAAGTCTCATCCGGAACGAGTGCTGCGAGCGTGATGACGTCCCTCCAGCGATAAGGTATGGGCTATATTTCTGATTCCATCTAAAAATTCTCCTCCAGATGAACTGCTTCCCTTGCAATCAACCTGCCTTTCCTACTCCTTTATACAATAGCTTCCTGCCCTTCTCGGTTTCACTTCCCTCAGCCCTCTATACGGTAGCTTTCTACTCTTCCTTCTACGGCCATGTTGTCTCATACATTAATTACAGGCGCCACTACAGACATCAGTCGAGGAGGAAGAAACCTCACAAATGAGCGATTCTTTTTCTGCTCCAAAGCTGTTTGTCGCTCCGGAGAAGGATAGGCAAACAACGCTTTGATGATGATCAATTACCAATGCTGGTTGTGAATACGTGAATGAAATGAGAATTTCTATTGAATATTGATTTATTGATGAAACAAATTTACTTTTCAAATAAATCCTTTGCCTTGCATTTGTAAAGTTGAAATTTTCCAAAGAGCTCTGGCTACATGGAAGAATTTCGAACAAGTTCCGTGAAAATCACGGAACTGGTACGGGTGACGGTACTTCTGTGACCAGAGCAGTGGTTTCGCGGCGCTACCATATCCTTCCATTGAGAAATCGAACTTTTCCCTTCATAGCGCGCAGCTGCGCACGATCGGATGCTGCGAGCGCGACGCGATTTTCAGGGATGAGTACCCCACCCCACTAATATCAATGGAAAAGCATGATAAAATAAAAAAATTAGGGTATCGAGTTAATGATCAGGCTGATACATTTTTTGGTGAAATTCTCCCGTTAGAGTTATAAAGTGTCGAATCATACGATCTGAGACTACATGAAGAAATTTTTGGCAAGTTCAAAGAGAATGCTCATCACTGGCATGAATAGAGGATAATTGGTCATTAAGTCCGAATAACCCATACCATAACTCTACTCACGAACTCTCAGCCTCCTATTGTGGAGGTGAAGCAGTGCCATATTGCGCACTACAATTTGAATGGTGTGGGGACCTACTCCTGGACTTATAACCGTGCTACCATGATCAAATGACACCGTTGGGCGACGAGTATAAAAGTATTGACTTCCACATCCGCAAATAATTGTAACTAAATATGGACTGAAACGATTCCACGGTTCAGGGTAACAGCCGAACGCGTGGCGCAAACGAAGAGGCACTGCTCATTGCCGAGAGACCCTTTTTCTTTACCTTCAAGTTCATCAATTGCGATGAAACCACATTAATACAGTCAATGCGGTGAAATTTCGGCAAATTTCTTGAGAGCAACCATCGAACCAGACGTTCGAAAGACTCAAATGCTTTGGAAGAGAATTCATCCGGCGGGCAGACCAATTGCGACTGTAACTCTTGTCACTACGCCACGCCACATCACCCTTGTCCACCTACTCATCAGAACAAACTACCCCCCCCCCCCCCCCACTCCAACAAGTTCCATTGGACGGAGCACTCATCAAATTGGATAGATGGAATAGCTCTGAACGTGTACTGGATAGGTTCACATAAAGTTGAAGAATGACGAAAGAGTCTAGATAGACAGCGTAGAAACGCAAAAAAGGAGAACAGGACGAGATAGCACGAATGGAACCAGTTCCTACGGGGAAAAACCGTGTCGACATCATAATGCTCGTACGTCGAGCTTGCTAATCTTTCTTGGTGGTCGATGAAGGTTGTGATAGTCCAAATTTGAAGAAGGTGGTGAAAAAAACCCATAATATCATGCATTCGTGAGATAAGGGGAATGGAAAGAGTCAAATTTCATGGGATGCCTTTCTCTCCATTGACCACGTAGGACCACCGTCCTCCATCACCGTCGGACTTGGGCGGTCGGATTGCGCCATCTTCTCCCCCAATCTTTAGATCCGAATTAGGCTCAAAAGCTGCGCTCCGATCTGTCCTGAGCTAGGTACCGTTCACAAATGAGGTGAAATCCTGAAAGGGCGCCCATTTCGTGTAGCGTTCTGCTCGAACCTAGGCGTTGAGCTTGGCGTCGAACAGGCTGTGGTTCATGACTCCGCAAGGAATTTCGTATTTGATTGAAGAGGAAACAGGGCTGAATCAGTGAGTTGCCCTTTATTCCACCCAATTGCTCGCTGTGATTTTTATTCTTGCTCAGAGATGAGTCAGACCAAGGAAAACAACCAACTGGCTGCTGACAATAAGATGACAACAACGATCTGACTCATTCATCTTCAATAGCTTTCATACATTGAAAAACCATCCTTCTCAAACGATTTCCATTTCAATCGGAGAACTGTTCTTTCTTGTTTTGACAACTACAGTAACTGTTTAGAGTTTGGTTTTTTTGAATCATTCCTTTTCGTAGATTCAAGTTGTCAAATTCAATTTACCCTAATTGGAAGCCCAATCAATTAAAAAGTCAAGAATAACTATAATCATGCCAAGATTAATGGCAATTCGATAAAGGAATCTACTGGGAATGAGTCCATTC